TATCACTTTCCTTAACAATCTGGAAACCAAGTAGTTTCCCACCAGTTGGAAAATTGGCTAAATTAACTCCAGTATATTAATTGTACTGCAGCTGTTGTATATGATGGAATATTATTGTGTACATAAGAAACTGAATATGAAGATTTCAGAGATGGGTGAGAATACAAATACATTGAGATAGAGTAGTCAATCAGCCAGTCAACAAACTTTAATAAGTGCCTACTATGTGTCAGGTACAGTAGTAAGTGCTGGGGATGTAAATATGAAAAAGAAAAATAGTCCCTAACCTCAAGGAACTTGCAATTTAATGGGGTAAGACAACACACACAAAAAAAAGAGGCTAAAAAACAGGGTGGTGTGGGATGGGGAAGAGAAAGTTCTTGGCATGGAGGAAAGAGGGAAAAGTCCAATGGAGTGCAGCTGAATGGGAAATGAAGAGATGGGTGGCCTGATAGCCTTTCTTAAATGGAGGTTTGGGGAGGAACTCTCCCCTTTGCCTTCCAATCAGAAGGGTCTGAGGGGCAGAGGGTTACCGATGAGGTTTTAGTACCAAGGTTGATGGTGTATCTGGAGGAGGAAGAGTGAAAAAGAACTAGGAAAACAATATACACAATGACTATGATAATGTAAATGGAAGAGGAAAATAAACTTGAACTGAATATTGTATAATTATAATGACCAACTGTCCTGGAAGGAAGAATTGAGAAAATGTGCTTCCCTCACTTTATAGAGGTGGAGGACTTTGGGCTTGGGATGTTGATTAAATTATCAGTCATAGTTGATATGAATTTTGCCACTGTTTTTCCTTTCCTTTTTTTAAATTTTTCCCCGCAAAGTGTGGCTTCTGGGAGGTCAAATATACAAAAGATAACAATACAAATTAATTTTCTTAATGAGAGATGTTGGGCTAGATGGCCTCAGATGGTTCCAGCTCTGTGTCTGTGAATCAGATAGCCCAGTTCAATCTGTTATTGAGTTTGAAAAAGTAGGAAGCTTCCCCCCGATTTCTATCATGCAAAGCTTTAAATTTTTAGTTCCAATGATGTAGATATATTAAAATGCAAACACAGAATGCTGAAGTTTTTCTCATTTGTACAACTGGCAATGGAGGTAGAAAGTACTACTTTGTTAGTTTAGAGTAGGGAGAGATTACTTCATGATGGTGTAGCAAGGTTTTGAAGGTTTGAATTGGCCATACTTATTGGTCACTCATCAGCCTGCTATCTGATTCATTCCCATGTTTAATCTTATCATCCCAGGTCCTAGGAAAATTCAAGAATATGTTTGGATATTTTCTCTAATTGCTGATTTTCAATATTTTCTCATTATTTAATCAACTAAACATGTTCATTAAATATTATTTAGTTAATACACTGAAGAAAATTCTTCCCATAAGCATTTGCTTATTAAAACTCCTAATAACCTAGGTTTTAAATAAACATTAAAGACATTGGCTGCATGGTTTACTAACAGTGTAACCAATGATAACACAAAGAGAAATAATTATTTGTAATGATTTAATTGTTAGAATTGTCATAGCCAGAGTCGACTCAAATCATCGAAATAACTGCAGATGACCACTTCTGAAAACATAATCCCATACCATTCAATTTCTCTCAAGATACTAAGTATAAGAGGCAGGTAGGTGATACAGTAGATAGAACACCAGCCCTGGAGTCAGCATAATCTGAGTTCAAATATGGCCTCAAACACTTATTAATTGTCTGACCAGCCCACACTTACCTGGGCAAGTCGCTTAAATCCAACTGCTTCCCCAACACAATACAAAACAACAACAACGAAAATACTAAGTATAGTCCTTTCTCAAGAATCTTTTTTACAAGATAGAGGTGAAAACCTTCTGCCACTAGGAGCACCCTTCCATTCCCTTCATCCCCTCTCTAAGGCTGCCTTACTGCTCATATCAGTTGGGCAAGGTGGAGATTCAATAGGCCTTATCATCTCCCCTGCCATTACAATCTAATGTACTCAAGGCTATACCACTTACCCAGCTGTTACACCCAACAGACCCTGGAGCATTATCATCTGACTTACTATGAACCCCTTGGTCACCACATCAGTTTTGTTGCTGAACTTTTAAGTCTTCCGGACTTTTCCATATGCCCTGCAGCTGAAATTCCTTTTTATGTTTTCTTCCCTAGTTAAAGAGTGAGCTCCTAGAGTGCAGAGAGACTATCTTTGCTTTTTGACACACAGTAAGCATTTATTAAATGCTATTTTCATTCATTTATTTATTCATACATTCAAAACAACTTTACCAGAAAAGATTTTTCCACCTTCTTTCTCTCTGCCTTCTCTAATTTCTATCCATTCTTGAGAGCAAAACAGTGTCTTCACTAGACTAATTTCTCATATACTTTTCTTTATAAGGCTTCTTCATATGTTCAAACACTATTTTACTCATTCTCTCTCTTTTTCACTTTCTTACCAACATGATAGGCATTTTGGTCACCTTACTGGCATGGCAAGTCTCTCTGGAATGATAAGTAAAACTCTCTAACCTGTCAGCCAAACTACTCTTTCTGTAACATTCCATTTGGATCTTAAAGATAAAATAACAGTATCTGTAGTCTATGTGGGAGAGCCTAGTGAAACAGGTGTTACTCTAGTGTAAGAGTTCTTAGCCTGGAGATCACAGACCTCTTGGAGTCCACGGCTAGATTTCAAGAGGTTTGTGAATTTGAATGGGAAGAAATACATCTTTATTTTCACTAATATCTAACTGAAATTTAGTTATTTCCTTAAATGATTTAATTATACTGAAGAGAGTGCCATCCAAAACTTCATTAGATTGCCATAGGCATTATGTAACACACACACACACACACACACACACACACACACACACACACACAAAAGGTTAAGAACCTGTCCTCTAGAGGCTGTCAGGAAGACTTCCTAGACTTGATCTGATTCTTGAAAGATGAGTATAATTGTACAAGTGGAACTTGTGGTATAGGAGCATAACATTCTAGCCAGAGGAAACAACGTAAGCTAAGTTGCAGAGATGAGAAAGCATGGGACAGATTCAGGGAATAAATACCAAGCCACCTTGCTATACAAAGGGAAAGCACAGAAGATAAGAACTGGAAAGAGCCAAATAGCAGAAGGGCTTCAATACCAAATAAAGTCCCAAAATCCATATGAATATACACACATATAATATGTATGCATATAAGTATATGTATGTATGTATGCATTGTTGTTTGCTGTTCTGTTGTTTCACTCTTGTCTAAGTCTCTGTGACCCCATTTTAGGTTTTCTTGGCAAAGATACTAGCGCGGTTTGCCATTTTCTTCTCCAGCTCATTTTACAGATGAGGAAACTGAGGTAAATGGAGTTAAGTCCAGGATCACACAGCTAGTAAGTGTCTGACGCCAGATTTGAAATCAAGAATATGAGTCTTCTTGACTCTAGGCCCAACACTCTATTCATTGTGCCACCTAGCTGCACGTGTGTATGTATACACACATATACATACATATATACATACATATATATATACACACACACACATATATGGACACATATGTATATATGCATGTTTGTGTGTATACACATATGTACATATAAACGTGTGTATATTCCCTATTGACATGTGTGAAATGTGTGAATGCATTATATGCACATATTATGTGCACATATGGATATATTGTATGTATATGTGTATGCATTTCTATGGACTTGTGATTTCATTGATATTGGGAACTCCTTATTAGGAAACTCACTCTACCAAAGAAGATTGGCAGTGAGTCTTAGAGAGTTGCCTTGGGGACATTGAGAATTTAAGTGTTTTCCCAGGGTCATACAAGCAGTATGTTTTTTTTTTCCAAAGGTAGGATTTGAACCTAAGTTTTCCAGATTCTGAGAACATCTCTTTATCCCCTATACCATACCACTTTCCCTGAATGTTCTTGTTCCTCTCTCTCTCTCCCTCTCTCTCCTCTCCTCTCCTCTCCTCTCCTCTCCTCTCCTCTCCTCTCCTCTCCTTTCCTCTCCTCTCCTCTCCTCTCCTCTCCTCTCCTCTCCTCTCCTCTCCTCTCCTCTCCTCTCCTCTCCTCTCCTCTCCTCTCCTCTCCTCATTTAGTTACCTTAAGGAATATCCAACAGAATACCTGTGGTTTGCTTCTCCACAGTCTATGGAGAACCTTAAATTTCTTTCACATTATTTCTAAAGAAGATTTCTATTGCACAAAAGGAAGCCTTTTAAACCCACAAACTTAAAAACGGGAAAAATACAAGACAAGTAGAAGCACAATGTAATGCACTAGACTAGCCATAAGATTTATATTCTAGTCCAATGTCTAATATTATTTTGTCTAACCCTGAGCAACTCACTCAGCTTTTCTAGGTCTCAGTTTCCCCAACTGTAAAATGAAGATATTAATACCAGTTCCAGCTGGCCCTGAGCAAGTTACTTAGCATCTCCAGGTCTAAGTTTACCCAAAAGTAATGGACATTAATACCAGCTCTACCCATTTCTACAGGGTTGTTGTAAGGGTCAAACGCAATTATGAATGTATTAATACTTGGATAAGTCAGGCTTCTAGCCATAATCATTTGGCACTACCAATTTATAGTAGAAAGAACAATGAATTGGAGATCAGGAAACCAGGGTTTTAGGTCCAGCTCTTTTCATAACTAGATCTATGACCTTGGGTAATTAATAATAATAATAATAATAATAATAATAATGGATAACATTTATATGACATATTTAATGTTTGCAAAACACTTTGGATATATTATTTCATTTGATCTTCACAACTATGGTATAATAGGTTATATTAGCATATCCATTTTATAGATAAGGAAAGGCACCAATAGTGGTTAAGTGACTCAACCCAGGGTAGAAAAGCTAATAAGCATCTATAGCAAGATTTGAATTAATTTCTTCCTGATCCCAAGTCCAGTTCTCTATCCACCGTACCACCTAGGAGCCTCTGTCACTTCACATCCTTGGGCCTCACTTTCCTTACCTGGAAAATAAGTGGGTTGAACTAGATGGTTCCCAGGTCCCTTCTTGCTCTGAGATGCTGGAGCCTTTTGGAATATTGACTCTTGGTTCTGCATCTGTATTTATCATACTAACAGAAAAGACTGTTTGCCCATTTTAAAAATAACTTGAGTTTTAATTCCACTATCAATCAAAATAACCCAAAACAAGCATCAGAGAATTGGAGTGGAATGTTTGATATTAATCTCTAGGGATATGTTTTACTGGCTCTGTTTTGTTGGAAGCTGAATGTCTTATGTTGAACATTCAACTCCAGATTCTCTGGGGAGTTGACAAACAATTTTCCCATGAAATAATACAGCTGACTACAGCTTTCCAGTGGGTTAATTTGTTCTCTGGATGCTGAAATAATACATGGTAGTACATTCTTTGCAGAGACTGATGTAATTATGATAGCTCTTCCTAGAATAAAGATAAATGGCAATTCAGTCCATCAACAAGAATTTATTTATAGATCTAGAGCGAGAAGGGATGTCAGAGGCCAATTGGTTTATCTTCTCTCTCTTTTTTTTACATTTGAGGAAACTGAAACCCAAGGATATTAAGTGATTTGCCCAACGGCACTCGGGTAGTAAGCATCAGAAGCAGAATTTATACCCATTCCCTTTGAGTCTAGAGCTAATGCTTTCACTACTGGGCCAATCTGCCTCCCTTTCAAGTGCCTGCCATATGCTCTACATTCTGCTTGGCAACAGAAATTCAAATTCAAAAGGAAATACTCAATGGAAAAATTAATAGGTGATTCCCATATTTTAAATAGCTTCTTATTTTTTTAAAAAAACCAACAAAGATTTTAATTTCTTTAAAGTGCTTGAGGCTTGTGCCAACCATGATTCTTTCATAAGAAGATAATTTTCCAAGACAGCTTATAAAACAAAGGATTGTTACTTGCAGGAGTCAATTTCGTATTATCCAGTCTATGAATTTTCCAGATCATGTCTTCTATTCTTCCCCATTCCTGTTGTTTGCCTTTGTAGCAATTCATTGCTTGTTACATCTTTTTCTCCAGCATTTATCCAAAATGTAGACTAAGGCAAGCAACATAACATTTCGAAACGTGGTATCCCTAGAATCACTAATTAAATTCAACAAACATTTATTAAATAGCCACTGTATGTGGCATTGTGCTAGGTATTGGAGAAGATAATGTAGAGAAGACAGAGTCCCTTCCTCCAATGTGCTTACAATTTAGCAAATGGATAGGAAATCTATAAATGTAATGATAGTACCTAAGTACATAAGAGCAATGTGAGATTTAAATGTGGAAAGGTCATTCCTGATCTGGAGAGATCAAGAAAGGCTTCCAGGATAGCGTTTGAGATAGCCTTTACATGAGGGGTAAGAATTCAACAGGTTAGATGAAAGGATAATGAAGAAGACATGTGCTATTTTTTGGAGGAAAGAAAGCATGCAGTGGGGACAGGTAAGAGGTATAAGTTTGGTTGAAATATGGAGCCCATGGCTAAAAATAGTATGAGATAAGATGGAAAATTAGGGCAATGTTAAGATCACGGAGAGTTATGCAAATCACTATAATGTAATGTGTGTAACAAATGGGAATGTGAGATACATGTAAAGAGGAGGTCAGGGCAAAGTGCTAAAAGAAATTTGAAGATGGAAGGATCATTTTTAACTAGAGATCAAGGAGGGCTTAGGTGTGGTGGCACCTGATGTGGATCTTGAAAGAAGGGAGGAATTTGAACAAATGGAGTTAGGAGATGGTGCAGACAAAGGAACAGGAACAGGAGGGAAAAGATTAAGGGGGGAGAATAGAGTCCCTTTTTGACTTGGATAAGGCAGGACTTTTGGAACATCCTGTAGAAAATCTAGAAACCTAAAGAGGTATATTGCCACTGACCTGAGTTTAGAGTTCTCTTTCATACTGGGAAGTCCCAGGTCATTTGCTACTGGATTCTTCACTGCTACTCCTTTCCCTAATTTTTTTTTTTTTGATTCTCTAATACCCAGATACCTACTATAAATCCCCTATGGAGGGAAGACAGCTAATTTTTATTTACCTTGTTTCCCTACTCACTCATCCCCTGCCTTTTACATGCTCTCCCAAAACATTACACCGTCTTATGTCTTTTTTAAAAGGACATTGACCACATAATTGGAAAAACATCAGTTGCTCATGGGTAGGCCGAGCTAATATAATAAAAATGACAATCCTACCTAAGCTAGTTTACTTATTCAGTGCCATGCCAATAAAACCAACAAAAACCATTTTAAAGAGTTAGAAAAAAATAATAAGAAGATTCATTTGGAAAAACAAAAGGCCCAGAATATCAAAGGAACTAATGAAAAGAAATGCAGGGGAAGGTGGCCTAGCAATTCCAGATCTTAAATTGTATTATAAAGCAGCAGTCATCAAAACTTCTTGGTACTGGCTAAGAAATAGGGAGGTGGATCAGTGGAATAGGTTGAATATGCAAGACACAGTAATGACTATAGTAATCTATTATTTGATAAACCCAAAGACCCCAGCTTCTGGAATAAGAATCCACTCTTTGACAAAAACTCTCCTTTGGCTTCCTCTAGTTTTCTCAAGAAGTTATTTTTTAGTGGCTTCTCTTTCCCCCTTCCAATAAAACTTAGTCTTATTTAGTACAAGTTCACTCAGAGATATGAAATATCTGTCATAAAAATAAGGCCAATGTTCTGTTTTAATGAGGCATTGGGAAGAAAGCAATCTAAACATGGCCTTTATTTTGTTTTCAGTTCCAAATTCTCATCTGCCTCCTCCCCACTTATTGAGAAGTCAAGAAAAAACAAACTCATTAAAATATTTGTAATGTCAAAGAAAGAAAGAGAGAGAGAGAGAGAGAGAGAGAGAGAGAGAGAGAGAGAGAAAGAAAGAAAGAAAGAAAGAAAGAAAGAAAGAAAGAAAGAAAGAAAGAAAGAAAGAGAGAGAAAGAAAGGAAATATGTTTCAATCTCCACTCTGAGTCTATTACCTTTCTATCTGGAGGTGAATCCCATGCTTCTCATGAGTCTTTTGGTATTGTATTTTATCATTGTGTTGATCAGAGTAACTAAGTCTTTCAAAGTTAACTATCTTTACAACATTGCTGTTATTGAATAAATTTCTTCTGTGCTCCTCTAACTTGACTATGATGTTACCTTTTATGTCTAAATCACGTACTTATTTGGAACTTATCTTGGTATATGGTGTGAGTTGTTGGTATATATCTAATTTCTACCAAACTATTTTCTAGTTTTCCCAATAGGTTTTGTCAAATAGTTGAATTCTTGCCCCAGTAAACTGGGATCTTTGGGTTTATCAAACATCAAGTTACAGTGCTCATTTGCTTTTGTATATTGTGACTCTAATCTATTCCTTTGATTAATTTCTCTATCTCTTACCCAGTTCCAAATTGGTTTTGACAATTAGGGTTTTGTAGCATAGCACAGTTTGAGATCAAGCACATGTCAGATCCCCTTCTTCCCTCACTCCCTTTTTTTCATTCAATCCCTTGATTATCTTGACCTTTGTTCCTCCAAATGAATTTTGTTATTTTTTCTAGCTCTATAAGTAGTCCTTTGGTAGTTTGATTGGTATTGCACTGGATTAGTAAATTAATTTAGGCAATATTATCATTTTTCTTATATTGGTTCAGCATGCCCATGAACAATGAACATTTCTCCAGTTTTTTAGATCTACTTTTATTTGGGAGAGAGTTTTTAGTAATTGTAATTGAGTTCATATATTTCTTATGTGAGTCTTCGCAGATAGACTCCCAAGTACTTTATATGGTCTGTAGTTATTTTAAATGCAATTTCTCTTTCTTTATCTTCCTGCTGGATTTTGTATATACAGAAATGTGGATATTTTGTGTGGGTTTATTTTATCTATTGCAACTTTACTGAAGTGGTTAGTTGTTTCAGTTTTTTTTTAGTTGATTCTCCAGGGTTCTCTAAATAAACCATAATGTAATTTACAAAAAGTGATAGTTTTGCTTCCTCTTTGCCTGTGCTTAGTCTTTTAATAGTTTTCTTGTCTTACTTCTGTGGCTAGCATTTCTAGTACAATATTGAATAGTAATGATGGTAATAGACTTTGTTGCTTCAACGCTTGATCTTAATGGAAAGACTTCTAATTTATCTTTATTATAGATAAATGAATTAAAAATTTTTGCTTCAAAGATCATTATTGAATATAATTTTTATTGATTTATGATCAGTAAAACATACATTTAATATTTCTGCTTTTTGCATTTGTTTGTTGAGGTTTTTATGTTTAATGCATGGTCAGTTTTTGTGAAGGTGCCATATATCGCTGAGAAATAAGTATACTCCTTTCTATTCCTACCCTATTCAGTCTTTTTCAGAGGTCTTTCAAGTCCAACTTTCCTAAAATCCTATTCATCTCCTTCACTTCTTTCTTATTTTCCAGTTAGATTAATCTAAGTCTTCTTTCTTATTTATTTTGCAGTTAGATTAAGTCTGAGAGGGATGAATTGAGATCTATGCTATTATTGCTTTGTATCTATCTCCTCTTGTAACTCATTTAAGTTTTTCTTTGAGAATTTAGATGCTATTATTTGTAATGGCAATAAGCTAAAAGCCTTCCCAATAAGATCAGGTGGGGTGAAGCAAAGATGCCCATTATCACTACTATCACTCAGTATTGTACTACAAATGCTAGCTCATATAGCAATAAGAGAAGAAAAAGAAATGGAAGAAATTAGAATAGGCAATGATGAAACAAAACTATCACTTTTTGCAGGTAATAAGATGGTGTACTTAGAGAATCCTAGAGAATCAACTGAAAAACTAGGGGAAATAATTAATTACTTTAGCAAAGTTGCAGTATATAAAGTAAACACACATAAATCATCACCATTTCTATATATTTCTAACAAAGTCCAGCAGCAAGAGATAGAGAAATTCCATTTTCAAAACTGCAGACTGTATAAAATGCCTGGGAATCTACCTGCTAAAGACAAACCTAGGAACTATATGAACACAATTACAAAACACTTTTCACACAAATAAAGTCAGATAGAAACAATTGGAGTAATACATATGCTGAACCAATGTGATAAAAATGACAATTATACCTAAATTA